CCCGTCCAATGATTGTTTGATCCTCGCGCAGCTGATCCCAGGTTTGTACCGAATCAAGTGCACTCTTTCACAGGAACGCCCCGCATACCTCCCGGGCTCCAACTGGGGGATGGAACGTTCCAAACTTATTTCTTGTTGCCCTTGTTGTTGCATTGGGCTGCAATTGGCATTGCAGGATTTTGTCCATGAAGGCTTTGAAGCCAGTTGAAGACGATCCATCTTCCCTTCAAACGAGTTGCGCAAAACCAGCACTCATTTGAGCTAAAGTCGGGACACGTTCTTGCACGTTTGGTGGGCAGATAATGATGATGCAATCATTACTCTCCATTTCTTTGTGTGTTGCGCAACTTAGTTTCTTGAACACTTGCACGCGCAGTGCCGAGGTTCCTGTTTCAATGGCAATCCACAATTTGGCCCTGCGTGCACCCGTCGATGTTTTTGGGGTCTTCAGCTTGACACAGGATGGCGATTTGCGGCCCATGGTCATCCGGGGGAGTGACTGAATGGAGCAAGCGCGAGCTTGCCGAAGTGCCGCACAACAGTTGCGGCAAGTGTGGGGTTTGCACGCGCTTAGCGCCGGAATCGCCTGGAAGAAAAGAAGAAGTCATATTCTGGTCAGACAGTGTCAACAGCCTTTGTTTGTATGCCAACCGCACGCGATTCGGGGGGTGCGGTGTGTTCGGGGATTTGGGTCGCAAGACAAGGGAAAAGGCGCTGCTGGCCTCGCGCACTGAGTTGGATCTGGCTCCTTCTCCAAAACAAGTGTGGTTGGGGTCACCATTTTTAATGTTTCTGGGTTGCTGGGGTCATTATTGAGACTTTCTGGTGGTCGGCTGAGGCTGTTTCACATTTTCTACCACTCAAGGGGTGACAGAAGAATGGGGCGCATTTGGGTTGGAGGCTACTTGTCATCCAACTGGCACAACAACTGGTGCCTGGCAAATGGCCGATATCCACCGGACCGCTCCATGCCGCATATTGATTATGGCTCTTGCCATGAGTGGTCAGCATCTAACAATCTTGCGTGGCCACAACGAACTGTTTCTGTACAACAGCCTTTGTATCACGCAGGTCGATTAATTTAGTGTATATAAATATATAAATATATATCACAGGTGCCCGTTTCTGAGACAAACAGTTTGGTGGAGCGCTGGAACTGCAGCTGGAGCATGCATGCGTAGCCGAAGACGCTTGCCTCGAAGGCGATGTGTCTGAGGGTCGTCAATCCCGGCTGACAGCGCCCTGCTGAACAATTGGCCACAGGCAAATCTCCGGGCGCCAACGTATCAAATGTTTGCAGATGGCAGAGCAGTTGGCCACATTGAGAAGACAAATGTTTGAAGAGGATAAAGCCTGGAAGTCTAGACAATGGAGTATCCGCGCGCAGAAACTTCACTTGAATTCTGCCTCACACATTTTTGAGAACGGTGCTCTATTCAGCTAAATCTGCATTGGCGTTTTGCAGTTGAAGAGGCAATCATCACTTACAATCACCAATCCCAAATCCTAGCCATCAACCGCTGCTCCCGATTTTTTCCGCTTATTGAAAGGGAGCCCGAAGGGAAACCGAAGAAAAACAAAACAAACAAGGGGGAAAACAACAACAACTAGCAACATGTACCACAAATCCCTGCCACACATGTGGTTTCGTCCCACTGCGCTGGGGCGCGCCAGCGGCGCGCTGGCCCACGTCGGCTGCGCGCTGGGCTGCGCTGGCCGCGCACTGAGCCGCGCCAACAGCGTTGTGCAGCGCAGTGGGGCGACGGTGGGGCAGGTGCTGGAGAAAGCTCACAGCCGGCAGGCCGAAGTGAGCCTCCCAGACCTGTAGGGCATTTTGTGTTTTTCGTTTGAAAGGGTTCCCTGGATGTTATGTTGGGGCTATGGTAACCCCGAACAATGCTGGGGAGTTCAAGCTGACAGAGCCAGAAAGCATCCTGGTCCTTATCCCTGGCTTTGCTACAGGAGATCGGGAGGTTGACAATTTGTGTCCAACAGTGACATCCTCAAAGTCACCTTTTCTGGTGGGTTTTCATGCCCCCCACCCCCCAAACAAAGACTACGCAACATTTTGAGCACCCCAAGCTGCAACAGTTTTTGGGTGTGTGTCAAAACCGGGGTACGCTCCCAAAGATAGACTTCGGTTTTCCCATTGGTTGTCCTAACCTCAAAAACGCACGCCCCGAGCTCCACTCGCTCATCCGCCGCGCGGGCACCTCTTCAGGAGCTGTCGGCCGATGACGCGGAGGTCCTCTTTCGGGCCGCCGGGTCGGAGTTGGGGGCGCTGCAACAGGCTGGAGTTCGTCCAAATGGTTGTTTCCTTGCAAGACCGTTGCATTATTTGACTGATTCAATATCCATTTACAAGATCTTCAGCCAGACGTTGTGTCCGGCTACGGATTGCAGATTAGGTAACTTGGGAGAGGGGCCTGCATTGAAGAGCCAGCAGAGGCCGCAGACGCGCTGCGCAAGGAGGCAGTTGGGGAAGAGGTGACCTATGTGGTGAACCGGAACATCAACTTCACCAATGCGGCTTTGAGCAGAATAAACGGGTGTCCGAATTAGGGGTGCCATTTTTTTGGATGGCTTAAAGGGGACCATCATTTTCAAAAGGAGGCCAACCGCCTGAAGGGTCCCTTTTGAGAGGCACCCAAATGGTAACGTTGGGACTGGCTGGTAGTGGGTTGTTCATTTCCGAGTGAGTAGCCCAGGCTGAGCGGTATGGAGCCGGAAAGGTTCTGGAAAGGAGGTTCTGTTGGGGGCACCACCTAGGCTTGTTTTGTGAAGAGGTGAGGTTGGGTGAGAACGGGTTCGACACATTTGCCAGTGCCATGTGCTGATGGCCTTGGAGTGAGGAGAGAGGACCCGATGTGTCAATGATGGCAGGGGGATGGGAGGAAAGGGGCGAATTCCCCCACAAATCAACATGGGGTCCCCAAATGGAGTTTTCTCTATGAGGGCTATTGGGTTATGGGCTGAATCAGGCTTGTTCCCCATGACCTCGACGGAGCTGCCAAAGAAATGAATACACGTTGTGATCATCGGTTGTTCATTTTCTCCCCTTCTCCCCCCCCCCCCCCCCCATTTTGGCTTGCATTTTTTTTTTCCGTTATTTGTGCCCGAACCGCTGGAGCAATTTGACGAATTGCACCCTGCAGGTTTGCGTGAAACGCTGCGGGTTCTGCGCCTTCAGCCGCACGGGCAGGGATCAGGAGGGCCGGGAGGTTCGGGGGCTACGAGTGGGTTTTCACCTCGAACCACAGACCCCCGAAGGGAAATGGAGCACATACCCTTTGTATCTTTTGTTGTGGTATGGTGGTTGTGGAACCTGAGCTGGGCTGGTTGGGCCGTAACAACAGACGGTTCTTGTTGGTCGATTGAGTTGGTTGGGGCCTGCAGTTTGCTGGTTGTGGTTGTACTTGCTGCGGGGTTTTGATTGGTGCTCGGATGGCCAGTTGGGTCACTTTCATCATTTGGTCAGTTTGGTCACTCCCAGATAGCTGAAAGCTGTGAGGGGTTCTGGCTTCCAAAGAGGGGCAGGAAGGTGCTATGGTGGTTGCTGGAAGGTTCTGTTTTGGGGGTGCTGGCTTGTTTGGATGTAGTCAGCTGCTGGTCATGGTGCTGTTGTAATCTTCCATGCTCTTTGGGGTCTATGCACATTTGGGTTGGTGGTGGGTGGTTTGACTACCGAAAACAAAAAGTTGGACCCTGGCTAGTTCGTGTTGCTTGCCTGGGATTTGACTTTGGGGCCAACAGCGAGGCCCAAAGGGAACACTAAATGGTATCAAATTGGGACGAATCCCAGCAACTTTTGACGAACGCCACCCAGGATTATCTTTTGTCACTGGCGATTCTGTTTCTGCATGGTGCTTTGGTCTCTGCAAGCATAGCCATGTTGGCAAAGAGGATCATAGACTGTTTGAAGTTGTCCGGTCGAGCTTGTGCTTCAGGCTTGGACGGGCTTGTAGAAGGTGCTGGATGTGTCCATGTGTACATTGTGTTGCTTGAACATTGCTTGGGAAAACAGCTAGAGCAGTTTAGTTTGAACAGGACCAGTCTGAAATACATCCGATCATTCCGTTGCCCACCGACACACCAAGCCAGCAGGATCCAACATTTCCCAGCAGTGCGCTGACAGCATGGGGTGAATGCCGAAGGGGGTGGGTGCAGATATCTTTTCGCGAGTTGAAAGTCGCAGTTGTATTACCATGGGTGTGCAACGTCTTGGTGGCTAGAGAGGCCAGTTTCATAGGAAGCCAAAGCTGCCTGCAGGAGGGGTACTTTCTGCCGCTGGAAGAGGTGCTGCGCCGCGTGCAGGAGGGGCTCGCGGCGGGAAGAAGGAGGTGTGGAGGGGTGAGGGTGGGTTAGGGTCTTTTCTGGGTGGGCTTTGGTTTTGTTGTGTTGGATATTTTTGGGAAGGGCTCCTTTTTAGCCCAGCCCTGCATCGGACCCTGGCAAGCCTGGTTGGTTGGTTGGTTGGTTGGTTGGTTGGTTGGTTGGTTGGTTGGTTGGGTGGGTGGGTGGGTGGGTTGGTTGGTTGGTGGGTGGGTGGGTGGGTGGCTGGGTTGGTTGGTTGGTTGGTTGGTGGGTGGGTGGGTGTGTTGGTTGCGCTGGGTGCGAGGGGTGGGTTTGTTGGTGGGTGGGTCGCAGCTTACACCCGGCGGCTGCCAAACAAAGAAGAGGAGGCCAGGATTTCTCTTAACGATCCATGCAGAGACTTTGTCCGCGATAGACATCCCCTTCACTGTGGAGATCTTGAAGCACCGCGCAGCAGGCAGAGAGCAGTCCCGTCTCCGCCGCCTCTCTCGCAGCTGCCCTCTGAGGCCAGAATCGGAGAGGCAGATGCTGCCGTGCGAGGACGAGGTGCCAGTCTCCGAAATCCCTGAAGATGACTTGGAGGTGGAGAACCAAGACTTTGGCGCAGGAGATGATGTGTCCGACCCGGTCACAGCAGAGGAAGATGCGCCTATGCAAAAAAGAAGGCGACCAGAAGTGCGACTTCTTGGTTGCCCTGGTGTGGCTGCTCGTGTGTGCAATGTCCTTGTTTGTGATTCTGGCGCAAGACTGCAAGGCTTCTACGAAAGGGTGTGCCGAGAGATCCCGCAAGCGCCAAGACCTGCTTTAGCAGCTCGGGCGCTTTGGCTTGAGTCCCGGATTCAGAAACGCTTTGTGAAGACCGGCCCAAATGACTTTTGAGGCCCCCAGTCTGGAAACCTGGCGCGACTTTGTGAAGTGATGCGGGTGCGTCTTTCTTGCAAGCCACAGCTCCAGGTGCGAAATGACCGAGCCAGCGGCGGTAAATTGCCCTTATGTTGCAACTTGTCTTTCCTGTATTTTCGCCGTTTCAGCTTGCCTGTAGCACACAAATCGCGCCTGTTTGTGCGCTTGCGCCTTTGCAAAAGCTGGTCTTTCCTCACAATGCCTTGCAAGTGGCTTGACAGCGTAATTGCGGCTTGAGGTGCGCGCAAAGTCTGTGAGCCACTTCACGTGTTGCCAAGGCCTGGGGCGCAGTTGGCTTGGCCCTTTGGCCAGGCCACCTGCAGTTGCTTGGTTGGCTCCATCCGGTGAAGCGTGGAAGATGTGCTTGGCATGCTTGTGGCCATTTTGGCTGGTTGAGCTGTTGTTCAGCCGGCTTGCGCAGCAGAGGTTCGAAGAGCCTTTTCGGCCAGGGCGTGGCTCGGTCAGCTTGTGCGTACCTTGTTGAGGCCTCTGCCTTCGGCCAGATTTTGACTGGTCTGGAAGTTGGGGTTTGAGAGGCGTGCTTATTGACCGCTTGTGACACGAGGTGGCCTGGCAGCTTTGCTTGCCAGTGTTGAAACGCATGCCCAGGCCACCTTCCATTTGTGTTCGCGCGCTTGGGGCTTGAGAGGCTTAGGAGGTGCCTGGAATCTTTGCTCGCCGGTGTTGAATCTCAGCACCTTCTCTTGGTGTTTGGAGCCTGGAAGGTTTTGCTTCCCGGTTTTGAAACGCATGCTAGGTTTGGAAGACGTGTTTGGGTTTCTAGATGGCCAGGCCACCTTCTATTGGCATTGGAAGCGTTTGGGGCTTGAAAGGTGTGCCTATTGACCCTTTGTGACAATAATGCAGGAGGTGGCCTGGCAGCATGCCGCTGTTGAAACGCATGCCCTTCCCTGTTGCAGCTACCGTTTGCTTGATTGGCTTCTGGAAGACATGTTGGGGCTTGAGGTGGCTAGACCAAGGTGGCCTGAAAGCTTTGCGAGGGCGGTATTGAAGCCCATGGACAGGCCACCTTCAATAGGCGTTTGGAAGACGAGCTTGGGGTTTGAGAGGTGTGCCTTGGTCTGCCCGAGGGCAGGCTTCGGTCTGCCCAGAAACCGCCAAGGGGCAGGCTTCGGTCTGCCCAGTTGCAGAGAAAGCTTTGCGTTTTGATTCGTGTCGATTGGGGTTTGGTGTCAGCCAGCAAAATCAGTAACTTTCGCATCATCCAGCAAGATCAGCATCATCCAGCAAGATCAGTATCATCCAGCAAGATCAGCATCATCCAGCAAGATCAGATTTCGGGTCAAATTCAAAGGGGGGTTTCTGGGAGGGCGCTTCCAACATCTTGGCTTCCCCTGAAGCGCGCCCATGCCACGAGACAGCTGGGCAGTGAAGCAGCAAATAGCCTGGAAGCCTTGTGTTACCTTGTCCTTGGACATAAAATGATGTGTTAGGCAGGCCCTTGACTTGTTGAACTGGCAAAGTGCGATGTTGGGGCAGTTCTTTGTGGCACGGAAAGTTTGCAGTGTTTCCCCTTTCCAAGTTGTTCCGTGAGTACAAGGCGGAGTACTTCAACCGGGAAGCGAGGGCTGGCATACTTTGATTTCTGTAACAAGAACGTGTTCCGCCGTGCTGCGGAGAAGGTTGCTGGGACAAGCGTCAAGGATGTGCGGTCTGCGGCTGAGTACTCTGTAAAGGAGGCTTTGCTGAACCAGGGAAAGAAAGCGCACCCAGACGTCTCAGCGCACTTTTTGATGCACCAAAGCGAGATTTCAATCAAGCGCTACGCAGCTGGAGGGTCCGAGGCTTGCGTGCTGTGGGAGCCTTCGGAGCAGCGATAATTCCCACTGCATCGCATCGCATTGGCAGGTCTGGATTCCAAACCTCCCTTGTGCATGGCTTGAGGAGGGTCTGGATGATGTTCAATTCTAAGCCTTCCTTTCGCATGGCACGAATTAGTGTGGATGATGTTGAATTCCATTTGCGTGATAGGGGGTAGGTCTGGATGCTGGAGGCACCTAACTGCCATGGGGATTGAACGATCTCTTCCTTTGAAGGGTCTGCTTTGAAAGGTCTCCCGTTGATAAAGCAACGTCCCTTACCCATTCCCACCCACACCCACCCCCCCATCCCCACCCATTCCCAAAACCTGCCCGCCCACCCTAGCGTGCGTGTTGCCTGATTGCCTGTACACGTGCCTGCATGCGCGCGCGCGTGGAGGTGCGCCGCGCCGCACGTGGCGCGCTCGAAGCCAGCCAGACTAAGACTGCATCCCCGGCACCGACTATATAAGCCCCGCAAAAACCCGTGAACAGTGACCAAAAAGCATGGTATTTGGGATGATTTCCGCATAGTGGCGCCGGCCCCGCTTTCGCAGAAAGCCCGCTCACTTGATCGCAAGCATGTCTCCAATTTTTGAGGGTTGGCGCGATGCAGGGCAAAGGGATGGAGGGATGCTGGAAAGCCCAGATATGCAGGAATGCTGGGATGATGATGAAGTTGGCGAAGATGCAGAGGATGTTGGCGGTACTGGCAACGGTCGCTGGCGGTTTGCGCAGTATTTACAGTGCTATTTGAAGGTTGGGCAACGTGGCATCAGAAGCCCGTCGCAAGACCGGCGATGTCGGGGATGTTTTGGGGTCCAGATGTTTGAGCTGGCGTGCGTGTAAGGGGAGGAGCTTGGGGTGCAACACAACATGTCAGCGTTGTACTTAACGGGCAGGGCCGCCCTCGATCTTTGAGCTCGAAGACACACAGCGCAGCTGGACTTAGGCTGGTTGGGGTTTGTAGTGGCAGGCTTTGGCTGTGTCAGGCTTGGGGCTGGTTGAAGTGGGGATCAGTTTCTTGTAGGGCTGTTGTTTGATAGGGTGTAGTCTTCTTCAGCTGGGGCTTGGGTTAGTTTTGTTTTGGTTTCGGGTTTGTCAGGATTGGCTTGGGTGAGTTTTGGGGGGCTGTTTTGACTTTTGGGGCTTTGTTTCGCCAAGTTTGGGGTATTTTCGAGTTGTCTTGAGATTGCTTCATCGTGCTTGGTAATTCCGGGTACGTTTGGTGATCAAATGGGCTGACGGGTGTAACTTTGACTTCAACTGCAACCAGAACTCCATCCAGCCACCTTTTAGGAAAGCTCGCAGCAAAAACGAAGATGATGCGACATTTTGCAAACTTCAGGCTTCCCGGTTGGGCAGTGAAGAGGACACGTTCAGACGTACGTTGCCACAAGCTCAACCCGCGGAATTTGCTCAGGAGGCCAAGGAGCTGGGGGCCACTGAGATCTGCGTCCAGGCGGGGCTTGCGCCCAACATGGCCCCCGCCTTGTACGAGGACATCGCTCGCGCCATCAAGGCGGGCGTGCCGCGGTCTGTGTTTTTTTTTTCCCGCCCTGCGGTTGGCGCAAGCCGGAAGGCGGGTTCGAGTGGTGACGTTTAACGAGATCCTGTGGTAAAGGGGGGTCTCTTTCTATCATGTCAGGGAGAAAGCTATAACTGCCTTTCAAAGCGCCGAAGTAGTATGGTTTGTGTTGTGCCTGGGGAACCGTGTGCCGCTAATGAAGGCTCACACTATTGTAGTGCTTTAGCCAAAATCACGATAAGAAGTAGGGGGCCATTTCTGCTTTTTGATGGAGTCAATTGGGTTGATTTGTCTTCCATGTGCGTTAGAGACAAGCGGTTGTGGGTGAGGGTTCAGGCAGTGTCCTCCTTGCACCAACGATTGAGCAAGGCGTTCTGCTTTGGTTGTCGGAGCAGCTGGCAATATGCCCGCATGCGTCTGCAGTTGCCTGCGCATGCTGAGCAAGTGCGCATTCGCTTGGCTGAACTCTTGGTTCACAACCATTCCTTCAGATTTCATTAGTCGAGAGGGGAAAAGGGTCTGCTTGGGTCCTGGGGATGTGCTACGCTTATGTGTTTATTTGGTTCGAGCAGCGAATGACGCAATTGGAGTTTTTTGCCACGCAAGTCTCAGGTTGTTGTGATTTCCCAGAACTGAATCAACCTCTTTGCATTGCGTTTGGGCAAATCGCGAGGAGCTCTGGGGGTAAATCGAGCGCAACAAACGATGAAGGCTACTTCCTTGGGGTCCATTAATTTCTATGGGGAACCTACAAAGTGGTGAGCATGAATCCATGAATCCCAACCTACCCGAAGGGTCTCCTCTTCAAATTCTAGCCCCGCTCCCGGCTAGGCAGAACACCCGGAGCTGCACCTGCACGCCTTCAGCCCGGAGGAGGTGCTGTGGGGAGCCAGGCGCAACAACGTGCCCCTGGAGGACGAGCCGCGAGCGCGAGCGAGCGCGGCCTTGATTTTCAGGGTTGGTTTCCTTTGGTTTCGCTTTGCCAAGTGCCCAGCCTTTCTAGCATTCATTGGTCGTTGGACCAATTTGGGATGCTTGGGTCCGGCGGGTCCGGTACGTGCTGTTTGTTTTGCAACGCTGCCCGCAAACGCACACGGGTGCCAACTCACAATCCGGAGCTTGGCACAGCCGGTCCCTTCCAAAGGAGCACTTTTGGAAAGGAGCACTTTTGGGTATTGACAAGAAAAGCTGGAAACAACAAAGCGCCCCGATTTCAGTCTAGGCCAACGAAACCAAGCAACCGCAACCTACCAACAAATTATGGCACCTCTCACCTATCTGCCGGCCCCCTGCAACCATCACAATTGTTCCACACCTGCACCACCACCGTTTCGTTATTTGTTGTCTTCTCCGAGCGGTCGAGTTCGTGGCAAGCCCGACGCATGCGTCGTGAGGACTACTTGGCGCGGCTGAAAGCCGCCGGGGTGGACTCGCTGCCGGGGACCAGCGCTGAGATTTTGGACGACAAGCTGCGGGCCCAGGCGGGCGAGCGGTTTGGTAAGACCCGTTTGCTACCTTGGGCTTGAGCTGATGTAGCCTTAGGGTTTGAGACAAAGAATTGCAAGGTGATTCTCACCTGGGCTTTCGGGATCTTTCAGGGGCGATTCACCGTTGGATGTAAATCCCCATGTTCAGACGTGGAAGGGCCGATCATGGAGTTAGAGAGCTGTTTTTCCGGGTTTGCCATGAAGGGGCCCCAATCGGGCCATTTCCTGGGTTTCCTTGTGAGGTTTCCCACCAAAACCACCATGACAGGTGGCCAAGGGCCGGCTGTCCGTGGAGGCGACGGGGTGGTTTTGGTTGGAGAGGTGAGAGGTGTTGGTCAGACTCACAAGATACAAACTACTCGTCCAATGTTTGGTTTCCTTCGCTGGCCGATGGATGGGAACACGTCGCTCCTTTCCGATATGGGCATTTTTAAGGGGATTCTTTTTGACAGTTTAATCGGAACCAAAAGGACAACCACCACCTTGCGGCAAATTTTACCCAGACCCATATTGTCTGTTTGGATTTGCAGATCGCCAGACTGGGTTGCTCCTTTCAGGAATGGGTGGCCGTGGTGAGCACGGCGCACCGCCTGGGGCTGCCGACCACGTCCACCATGACGCATGGAAAGAGAAGAACCGCTTAAAGTCCTTGAAAGAGTCCCTTGGGTCAAACATTTGTTTGTCTCCAAATTTATTTTAAGCCGACTGGCAAAACGGGCACCCTTACTGGGCCATATCAACACAATTTTTCCCTTGGGTAGGGTGATGTGTAAAGTGGTGACGAGCAATCCAACATTTTCACAAAAACTAGGGGGCAACCCAATTTTCCAATGTTTTTGTTGGGCAAAGAAGTAATTTTGTCCGGGGCTAAGACAAGTGAAGGGTGGTAGCAGATCCTTCCTGGGATTGTTGAAACCAATCGGAACCGCAATAGCAACCCGACTAAGTGAAGGCTTGGCAAGGGACAGTTCAACCATGAACAAGTACCAGTAGAGCCGGCAGAGCCGGTGGGCGGAAGTTTCTAAAGCGAGAAAAGTGCCTGTAGGAAGAGCTTGGCTTGTTTTATTTTGGTTTCGCTCTTTCTTTCTCTCTTTCTCTTTTTTTTTCCTCTTCTTTTTTCTTCTTTCTTTCCTTTCCTTCTTTCTTTCTCTCTTTCTTCCTCTCTATCTTTATTTGGTTTTATTTCGTTCTTTCTTTCTTTTCTTCCTTTCTTGCTTTATTGATTTTCTTTCTTTTGGTTTCTTTCTCTCTTTCTTTTTCTTTCTCCTCTTCCCGAAATGTGTCCTGTTCAATTTGGGGGGAGGGGTCTCAAAGTGTTCTGGCTCACTCCCAGAGCAAAGTTCCCAGAGCAAAGTCAAAAAAAGGTATCGCCCTGCCGTAAGAGTGTGTCTTTGGCCTCAACACGCTGTGCTCAAAAGACAATGCGACTTTCAGAAACCAACCCCAAACTAACAGAGGGAGTCAAAACAGGGGGAGTTAAAACAGGGACCGCCCTACAGTAAGAGTCTATCTTTGGCAAAAGACATCTCCTTCCCATTCGAGCGACAACCCCAAACAACCCCAAACTAACAGGGGGGGACCAAAACAGGGGGAGTCAAGACAAGGCCCTCCTTTTTGCTATGTCGCTTAAGACAGCATCTATTTCGTAGCTTCTCCTCTGGCTTCTCTCTTCTCTTATTTCTTCTCTTCTTTCTTCTCTTCTTTCTTCTCTTCTTTCTTCTCTTCTTTCTTCTCTTCTTTCTTCTCTTCTTTCTTCTCTTCTCTCTCTTCTCTTCTCTCTTCTCTCTTCTCTCTTCTCTTCTTTCTTTTCTTCTCCTCTCTCCTCTCTTCTCTTCTCTTTTATCTTCTCTTCTCTTCTCTCTTCTCTTCTTTCTTCCCTTCTTTGTTCTCTTCTTTTTTCTCTTCTTTATTCTCGTCTCCTTTCTTGTCTTCTCTTCTGTTCTCTTCTTCTCTTCTCGATTCGCTTCTCTTCTACTGTATTATCGTCTTTCTTCTCTCTTCTCATCTCTTCTCTTTTCTCTTCTCTTCTTTCTCTCTTCTCTTCTTTCTTCTCTTCTTTCTTTTCTTCTCCTCTCTCCTCTCTTCTCTTCTCTTTTATCTTCTCTTCTCTTCTCTCTTCTCTTCTTTCTTCCCTTCTTTGTTCTCTTCTTTTTTCTCTTCTTTATTCTCGTCTCTTTTCTTCTCTTCTCTTCTGTTCTCTTCTTCTCTTCTCGATTCGCTTCTCTTCTACTGTATTATCGTCTTTCTTCTCTCTTCTCTTCTCTTTTCTATTCTCTCTTCTCTTCTTTCTTCTCTTCTTCTTTCTTCTCTTCTTTCTTCTCATCTCTCTTCTCTTCTCTCTTCTCTCTTCTCTTCTCTCTTCTCTTTTCTATTCCCTCTTCTCTCTTCTCTTCTCTCTTCTATTCTTTCTTCTCTTCTTTCTTCTCTTCTTTCCTCTCTTCAATTCTCTCTTCTCTTCTTTCTTTTCTCCTCTTCTTTCTTATTCTCTCTTCTCTTCTCTTTTCTATTCTCTCTTCTCTTCTCTCTTCTCTTCTTTCTTCTCTTCTCTCTTCTCTTCTTTCTTCTCTTTTCTATTCTCTCTTCTCTTCTCTTTTCTATTCTCTCTTCTCTTCTCTCTTCTCTTCTTTCTTCTCTTCTCGTCTTGATTCTCTTCTTTCTTCTCTTCCTTTTTCTCGTCTCTTTTCTTCTCTTCTCCTCTCTTCTCTTCTTTCTTCTCTTCTCGATTCGCTTCTCTTCTACTGTATTCTCGTCTTTCTTTTCTTCTCTTTTCTATTCTCTCTTCTCTTCTCTTCTCTTCTCTTTTTTTCTTTCTTCTCTTCTTTCTTCTCTTATTTATTCTCGTCTCTTTTTTTCTCTTCTCTTCTCTTCTCTTCTTTCTTCTCTTGTCTCTTCGCTTCTCTTCTACTGTATTATTGTTTTTTTTTGTTTGTTTTTCTTTTCTTTTCTATTCTCTCTTCTCTTCTCTTCTCTTATTTCTCTCTTCTCTTCTTTCTTCTCATCTCTCCTCTCTTCTCTCTTCTTTTCTCTCTTGTCTTTTCTATTCCCTCTTCTCGCTTCTCTTCTTTCTTCTCTTCTTTGTTCTCTTCTTTCTTCTCTTCAATTCTCTCTTCTCTTCTTTCTTTTCTCCTCTTCTTTCTTTTTTCTTCTCTTCTCTTCTCTTTTCTATTCTCTCTTCTCTTCTCTTTTCCATTCTCTCTTCTCTTCTTTCTTCTCTTCTTTCTTTTCTTCTCTTCTTGCTTCTCTTCTTTCTTCTCTTCTTTATTCTCGTCTCTTTTCTTCTCTTCTTTTCTCTTCTTTCTTTTCTTCTCTCTTCGCTTCTCTTCTGCTGTATTCTCTTCTCTCTTCTCTTCTTTTTTCTATCTATCTATCTACCCATCTATCTATCTGTCCATCACCTGACCTTGTGAAAGTGCAGTGCCTGCCACGAAATCTGTACTCGACCTTGCGAAAATGCTGCGCCTGCCACGAAATCTGTACTTGACCTTGCACGGGAAATGCTGCGCCTGCCACGAAGTCTGCACCTTAGGTTGCCAAAGTGCTGCGCCTGCCATGCAAAATGGACCTCCGAAAACGTCTGCGCGAGCATTACAGTGGGCAACAGTGGCGAGACCGTGGCGAGACCGCGGCGAACCCGTGGCGAACCCGCACGCAGAACAGAGGTACTCTGAGTGCGTCCGGATCTTGTGATTTAACTTTTAATATTACGGAAGTTTTCTTACTAAACTTCCTTTGACAAATCTCTACGCCTTTGAAACCTTACATGGTTTTGGATTGTCTTTTTGCTTACAGTGTTCTGATTGTGGCTCATCTTTTTCTTTTTGCCTATTTTCCGTTTTGGTTTGTTTGTTCAAAGGGCACCTAGGATCCCTATTTGGGTTTGAACCCAAACAGCTGCCCTCTGTGTCCAAGGATGTTCGGCTTCTGCGAGTCCCCGCGCCAACTCGCCAACCACATGGTGCTGCTGCGGGAGCGACAGTCCGAAGGTTGGTTGGCTGAACGGCTGAACAGTGTCTGCTGAAGTGGCTTTGTTGTTTCTCTGGTTTCCGCGGTGTCTGAGCATCGAATCCGAGAGGCACGAGGAACACGCGCAGTGTTCCATCAGGTGTGGCGTGAGCCAGGTCACTTACAGGACAGGCCACCGCATCGCAATCAGCACTCAGCTGGCTGAAAGAGACGCCACGGCTCCACAAGGAGTTGCTTTCTCGAAACCGTGAGGAGTTCGACAAGAAGGCCTTTGTCCCTCCCCCACCTTTGCTTCGGAAGGAGATCCAGAAGAAGGCGGAGGCGTCAGACGTCGTCGGCTTCACGGAGTTCGTGCCCTTGGGCTTCGTGGCCTCCGAGGCGAATCCGTCAATCCGATCCGTCCATCCGAGTGGATCGAAGGGTTGGGGTTCCGAGATGGGCGCGCTTTTTTTGCGGGTCATTTTCGGGATGGAAGCGGAACAACAAGCCGTTCTTTTTGGAAGTGGTGTTGTTTGGTGGCAACCAGAAACCAAAAGATACAATGGATCAAGGTCAAAACGTAGGCTTAGGAGTGGAAATGCAGAGCTTTTCGGAAGCGGGATGGGGCAGCCCAGCAAGCAGCAGCCACAATCAGCAACCAGCAAACTGGCAGCACAGCTGGCAAGCAAACGCAACCGGCCAACAGCCAAAATCCGGCTAACTTCGAGCTGGCCAGCCCATATGGAAGCAGCTCAATCTCATGAAGATTCTGGTCACAGGAAAGCGAGAGCGTGGTTGTTTTGGTCTGTACACACGGTGCTGGGCCTTTCTCGCTTCAGGATCCCTTTGTTGAACCCTAGGAGGCTTCAAAAGTGGGAAACAAAGGCCTTGTTGGATCATTCTCGCCTTCTTTTGTCCCTTCGACAAGCTGGCAAGGTTCCGAAGAGGAGGTTCAATCTTGACCATCCCCTCACTGCCCACCCCATGTTGAAGCGACACAGCCAGCATGCCTGTGACAAGGGAAGAATGTACCAGTTCGTCCCAAAACGGTGTTCTCTCTGAATTGGGCGGTTTCATTTGGAAAATGGAAGTTGGTAGTTTCCACCCTTCCAAACAGAAGGGCTGGTTTCAAATGCAATACACTCCAAAACGGACAATGGTTGGCGTGCCTTCAACCAGAGGCGCCCATGTGGAAGCGTGCCGGTGCCCTGCAGGCGCTTCCCGGGTTCGCGGGTTTGGGGACCAAGCCAGGGTTTCGCTGGGCACAAGCACCCAAAAAACAAAGCAAGACACATTCGAGCATACAATTCTTATCAATTTTTGCATCCTTTTGCATTTTGCATTGGCCTTTCCTACATTCTGCTCGGATGTTCAAAATTCGATCTGCTTGCCAGATGGTGGTGTTTTCCCTTGATATAGTGGTGGTCCACTGCGAATTACGGAGTGGGATTACGGAACAACCGCACCAGATGCGACCAGATACCCATCAGCGAAGACTAAAGCAGATACAGAGATGGCTCACATTTTGCTATGAATGTTAATAGGGAACCACCTCAACGTGGTTGGTGGACATGAATTCCCACGGTCCTCATTGAAGCTAGCGAAGATCCACAAGCAGCTGCAGGTAGATCCGGCAAGTCGCAGCAGTGAACACAACATCCGCGGAACAGCCAACATCAGCATCAAACAGCCCATGCAACAACTCGCTGAAATGTCACTGTGTACATATGGGTGAGGGATGCAAACCAACAGTATTAACATCCGAAAGAGAAACATGTTTGGTTATGTTGGGATGAATCAGGCAGCCATTGATGACGCAACAACCGCTTTCAGAGGCTGCACTGCAGTTAGTTATTGCTGCTCTGTTTTCCTTTGAATATATGTTGATGTGTTTTCTCTGCATCGGTGTAACACTATCATGCAAAGTCACAAGAAATAACGTTCTTGTCATTGCACATTTGCAGATGCACAGCCTCTCCCTACAGTGAAAAGGGGCAGGACAGCAACATGCACGTTGTGTCCACACTTTCTACATGGTACGGGCACAGCCGCGTCACATATTCATAAACCTCAGGAATCACGCGCACGCAAGCAGGCCCTACTGTGACTTCTTGACTGGCTGATTTTAGGTGGATAGGATGCCTTCAGGGCCTTTGTGATACGCCAGCACAGGCCACAAAGCAATGTATTCGCAGAACACATGGGATACCTTGGCTTGAGGTTAACCCCAGCTCATCCTGCAGAATCAGATTTGGCTGGGCTGGCTCAGTTTTGCTTTCAGCCTAAGCCTTTTGAGCTTCAGGCATATTTGTTGCCGTTCAAGGATTGGTTGCTCAGTTTGGGTTAGATTCGGTGTCCGTTCCTTGCGGTCTCTTCCGGTGTGTTTGAGCCTTTGCTCATCACCCCCACCCCCCCTCAACACAAACCACCACCACACACCACCACCAAAAAGCGCACCAAACAACACAAGCCACTCACCCTCCCACAACTCACAACTCCCAAAGAGAGCAACTTCCGCAGGTGCGGCCGGGGCCCACCGGTGTGGAGGTGCTGAAAGCTCACGCAGTGGCGCGCCTGGTGCTAAACCCCTTGCTGCCGGGTGGCATCCGAAACCTCCAGGCGGGTTGCAACGAGCGCTGGCATCGAGTCAAGTTGGCCCACAATGGGTTTGTTTCCCGGTGCCCTTCAATTCAAAAAGGGCGCATTATTCTGAGAAGTGTCTCCGTTTTGAGCCGGTTTAGGTGGAAGGTCGGAAGGCTGGATCTGGGTGCCGTTGGCCAGCCCCCAGCGGAGCAACCAATGGGCCAGGACACATCGCGCGTGTCTCAGAAAAAGTGTGGGAGTTGATCGACCATGACGCCCAGGGGTTCAGACAACCCTGGAGCGGAGTGTTGGGGTGCAGATCCTATGGTGCTCTGTGCTCCAAAGAATCATCCAAACTCAGAGGTTTCCCCTTGAGAAAATCAACCACCCCTGACTTTCAGCCTACCCTAGAGTCAAAACATGGCACCCCCCAAAATGTCTTGAGTCCGATCCGGAGCTGACGCCTTTGGAGATTACTCGCGCTCGATTCGTGACTCGTGACTCGTGATTCGTGGCCTCGAACAACCGGATCGTGATTTGCAATTCGTGATTCGTGACTCGAGGTCCGGCCCTGATTCTTGATTCGCCTTTTGGCTTCCCTTGAAACCGACCTGAAAAGTGTACCCTCAAGAAGCACACACCGCGCTTGTCTCCTTTCGCTTCGTGCCCATCGCGAGGTCAGCTGGGTGAAGGAAGGCTTCAAGATGGCCCAGCTGATGCTCACGGCTGGGGCCAATGACCTGGGCGGCACCCTCATGAGCCCTGGCAGCCACATGGACGTAGAAGAACCCAGCACATCCCAGCAAAGGGGACTGCAGAATTTGTCGTGCTTTAGCCGCGACAATCATGCTTAGGGTACTCGTAGCGACAACCTCATTTGTCAATATTCCAATGATTTCCGATGTTGGAACTCACTTGCAGATCCCTTTTCGGATGGCTCTATAAAGGGAGGTCTCCAGTTTCAGAAAAGCATCCCAAGATTCTCAAGGGAGCAGCTTGTGGCTCTGCCACGAAAAGGGAGATACATTTTTTTGTACCTCCCCCCACCCCGGTGAAAACGGGAATTAGGTGAGCGGCGGTGGTATTTGACCAAAGTTGTCGACCGTGTAGCTGCACAGCCCCGATCTTGGAAGACGTGCCTCACAATAGTTGTTCTTTCCTCGGAAGAGGAAAAGAAGGTGAACCCCTTGCATTGAAGGCAACCTGCCCTAGCTGATGTCGGGTTTGGGGTTTCAAGGGGGTTGCAACCCAAATCAAAAGTGCACTTCCCCCTTCAGGCTCGTTTGAAGTTGCCAAAGATGTTCCGTTTTTGGGCCACCCCATCAGGAAGTGAGATCGACCAGTCGAGCCCAACGCTTTCCCACTCGGCTAGCCGGACATGCGCGACGGGACGCACAGGTGTTTCATAGCGGGCTGGGCCTCTCTTGAGACCCATTTTGGGTTGGACCCATGTTTCCATCATACGGATGCCTCAAATCTTGCAAGTCAACCATCTTGCAAGACCCCCCCTCCCCCCGGCACCAAATGATGTCCACAAAAAATCTCCCAATTAAAGCTTACACCAAGGGGTGTCAAACCATGGGGGTTTGGGTCAGAATAGGGCCCCAGATAAAATGGGTGGCTTGCTTCTGATCTTCCTGCAAAAACAATCAACAGGGTTTGCCATTTGGTTTTCTTTTAAAGCAAGCCCCAAAAAAGCAAACCAGGGGGTACTCCTAAAAAAGGGGTTCCCAAAAACAACAGACTCACTCGTGGGTGTGCACCATCCCCCCCCCCCCCCGCCCTTGAGGAACGAGAGCATCTCCACCGCCGCGGGCGCAGGCCACGGGCAGCTGGCAGCCCCCAAGGAGCGCAACGAGACCTGTTTGGGTCCTGGTTTTAAAGGGAAACCAGGGAGGCAACGCTTGAGCAGTTCGGATTGAAAAGCGGATACCAAGCCAGGGTTGAGGTGTCACATGTGGTTGGCGCAAACTGTTGAAACAGCCACACAACTGCTTGAACCGTGGTTAAAAGGTTAACATGGGTATGTGTCAAGATAGGGGCACGCAAAAATCGTGGCTTTCCTTTTGGTCCCCCTTAAACGGCTAAAAGCCACCCCAAAAAGAGACACCTCGAAAACACGCCCTATGAAAAGCATTGACTCGAGGACCTGCGGCGTTTGGCCTGGGAGCTGGGCCGCGGGTGCGCGCAGCGCAGCACCTCGTACGAGCGGCTCAAGAGCTTCGCCTGCCCCGGCCGGGATGCCCGGGACGTGGGCCGGGTTGGGGGTGGGCTGGCCGGGTTGGGGGTGGGCTGGCCGGGGCGGGGGTTTGGTGGTTTGGGTCTTGCATGTTTTGGCTGCAACAGGCCAGACTGAACTTATACCACTCGGAAGCGGCTAGATTGCCCGGGCAGAAACTTCCTTTTTGTCTTCTACTCGAACACGCTCTCAACTTGCTTCTTTATTGTTCGGTTGCGTTTTGGAAGGCAGAAGCAAAAAGGACCCAGAGGACGCCCGCGCCTGCCTTCCGCACTCTTTTCACGGATCGTTCTCTCTGAACAAAAACGATTTACGTGATCCAGTTTCCAATTTTAAGAAACTTTGAAGCTCAGCGCACAAGGCAGGGATCAGATGGGTATGTCTCAAGAAAGGGGGACCCCTAGAAATGATGGTTTTCCCGTTGGTTCCCTTTAAAGTCACCCTGAAAAGGGTACCCCCCAAAGCACCCAGATGTGTCCTTTGCCGTGCCGAGCTCATGCGTGGCCCTGAGGGACCGACTGGGACCGCATCGAGGCTGAGACGAAAGGGGCGTTGGACCAGGTGGACGTGGCGCGCTTCGGGTCCTTCCAGGATGGAGCACATGCGTTGCACACCTCTTCAGAGTAGGCCCAAATGAGTTGGCACATGCCTTGCACACCTCAGAGTGGGAGGCCAATTGGTTGCTGTCTGAAGTGGAGCAGGTGAGGGTCTGTACGTGCCACAGCCAAACCGCGTCAAACGGGCATAGATTGAGCCATGCTTGAATGGTGTTGATGACTGCCAGGAGTGTTTTCAACATTTTACTTCTATCAGATGAAACTCATTTCAGACGGGATATGGTTTTGGAAGCCAACGCAAGGATTTGAGGTGCTTCCACATGTCGTGCAGAGGAGTTGGTCGCCTCTCCGGACTATCGCTTCAAAGGCTCAGGCAATCGCAAGGGAAAAGGGCCGCTCAGATGAAGCCGGCTTCGAGCGGAGGTCGCTAGTGCCGGGTGGTTTTTCTCTTGTGTTTTCCTGAAATAACATACTCCCCATGCATGCATGACACAACAATGTATGAATTATTCAAACAAACAGAACACATCAGACGAGCTTCAGGCCTTGGCTCGCCGACATTTGCCAAGGCCTATGGCCGGGTCGTCCAGAGGCTACAGCACGGCACGTGCAGCCACCGTCAGCGACCAGTCAGCCGACCTGAGCATCGGGGACCGGGTGGTGACGTATTCCCCGTCTTTTACGCTGGTGCCCACGTGTCTTGGCCGAAGGGCCAGCGAGCTGTTTGCGTTTTATAAGTTGTTTTTGCTTTGTTTTGTATTTGTTCGTATTGTGTTTTGGGCACCCCTGAATCTGTGGTTTGGATTAGTGGTTTTTGGGGATTGGAACGCCAGCTTCTTTTGAAACCAAATGGGGTAGTTCCTAGTGTCCAAACCACCAAACCAAACCACCAAGAAGGGTTCAGGCGACTGTTTGTTGCGATGCTTTTCTTGGAGTTTTTTCCTTTTTTTTTCTTTTTCCTAAACCCCAAGGTCAAGCCGAGATTGAACATTCATCTGATGTCGTCTGAGCCTGCCAAGTGCTATCAGGCAAAGTGAAGCTTTTGGTTGGGAGTTAGTTTCGCGTGATGCCAAGGTACGAATGCTTCAACGTGTGCAGCTACTGCAACTTTCGGAAGGATGTCACCCGGGAAGGTGCGGAGGGATGCTTTTTCTTTGGGTCACAGGTTCCCACGTTACCTTTCATTTTTCCATCAAAGACAACTATCTAACTTATCACATCCCCTTCACACGATCATTTCCACACCGGCTGTGCTTTTCTTGAGGCAAGGGCTCGTGATTGTGGGACCAGTGTATTGTACTCTGTTTGATCTCTTTTCTTCTTGGTTGGTTTTTTGCCATCTCCATCGGAGTCCACCTGATGGCATTTCCAGGGGCGGATTGGATGTCGGAGCAGCAGGCGCGGCGGAAGCTGGAGAGCCTTGTGGGAACCGGGGTGGAGGACGGGTTGAAGCGTTGGCATGACGTGCCTAGGCTTCATTCATGAGCAGCGTGGGAATGAGGATTTGGTGCCCACTTCCCCTTGAGATGGATAAGTGTTGGAATGCCTTCCATTGGCATGGCAATGCCCACAACCCTGTTCACGAGAAAACTGGCACGAGATGGGCTTTGCATGGCAACGTTAGGGTGATATATGTGGGTAGCTACTTCTTCCGTGGGCAGCCAAACTTTTATACAGAAAGCAGCAGGTCAGTATCCAGTATACAGTATACAGTATACAGTACTATTTGTTTCAACCAAAGGCAGCCTTCCACCCCCCTTTTGCTGGCTTTACAGGTGATGGCACGGCAGCCATTTGTGGGATTTCCCAAGTTGAGACAACATGCACCACATGCTCAACTCCAAGATGGCATCCACTGCCCCCAATCATTTCTGCATTTCCAGGGATTTAGTGGGATACACCATCCCTTTTGTACAGCCACGGTAGAAAAGGGTATAAGTGAGTGGACATCATCCTAGACATCAGCTTAGACGGCCACTATAGAATTTGGGTGACCCCAAATGGGTTCAAGCATATGGGCTGCTTTCGGATGCGAACAAAACACATGATTGTTCCTTAGGTGGAACTTGTTGAATGGGCCCCCTGGCACAAAGAAACGTCGTCTTCCGAAAGGAGGCTCTGTGCATTTCCAGCATTGGTGGTCCCTAACCTCCCAGAGGAGATCCTGGTGATGTCAGGTGAGGTCCACCCGCGGGCAAGGACAGGATGACCGGACTGTATGGGTCGGGGTATGCTGACCTTGAAGGGTGGTGTAGGCTTTATGATATTGAAATGTTCACTTTAGCCATGAATTTTAATTCAATACATGCAATGACTCAAGCTTGAACTGTGATTTAGGGTTCAAAGATGGTTTCCCCTTGTTGTCCAACCTGTGTAAATCAGCACCCAAGAACACCATTGGCTTCAAGCCGTTTTCTTGTCCAAAGTCCAAGGCTTTCAAGTTTCGACAGCGAGGAATCGGGCAGCTTGGGTGTCCATGGCGGAGAAGGTGTGCTCAACCGCCCTGGAGCTGCTTGGCGGGTGCAAGGGTGGGGGCTGCACCCTTGTCTTTGTACTACAAGGGCCCTTCAAGCTTCAAGCTTGCGAAATGTATCCTGATATTGTGCACAATAGGTATACTCATTGTTGCCCACTTTCTCAAATGAAAAGCCTTCCTAAACAAGGGCGGATCTATTCTACACAGGCCGTTGTGCGAGGTTGAGGCTCTCCGACGAACACTGGGAGCCTCAGAAACCCCCCAAGCTTCCGTAGGACCGCTTTCCCAGCCCCCGTTGGGCCCTTTGAGGTTCGCGAGTCGCCCGTTCTTTGGCGCCTTCGCGAGTCGCCAGGCTCGGCTTTTTGCCGCACACCAACATCGGGCCTCTGGGCCGCTCCGAGATGGCCCGCCTCAAGGACCGGTCGGTTTGCTTCGGAACTCGGGGCGAAGCCTCGGAGCTTTTGGCGTCTGTTCCGCCTTTCAGTTGTGTTGGTTTCGGTTTGGACGCGGTCTTGCTTCTTTGTTCTTTGTGAATATGGGAATGAGTCGGAATGAGAATGGACCTCCCAAGCATGAAACTACAAAGTGGTTGGTAAAGAAAGAGCAAGCCTTTGGTCGGTTCAGTTTTTTTCCCAACAGCTGAAAGCTTTGGGGTCTCAGCCCAGATAGGCTCCGGGGTGGTCCGGGGCGGCCCTGAGGTGAGGTTCCACAAGGGTTCCACCAGGGTTCCACGAGGGCTGCGGGGTGGTGAAAAGAGCGCCGCATGCTGTTGGGGATATCACCTGAGCTTATTTGTCATTGTCGGGCTTCTGGAACGGTTCTCTAAACTTATCCTTACCATTGTTAGTCTTTGTGGCTTTGCGGCGAGGCGGGGCAACTCATGCGTTCAGCAGGACAAACGATCCCCGGCATTCTGTCTCAAGGGTAAGGGGGCATCAGTCAAAGCCTCCCGAATCTATCTATGTGACGGTGTGTCTCAGCTTTCAGAGTCGACTGCAGGGCCAACAGTTTAGACAAATCGCGCAGATGTAGAAGCAGTTTAGTCTGAAGTCGCCCCTCCCCCCTTTTTTCCACTTTTCTGCCATCTCACTCTACAGCTTGGGCCGCTACTTGAAGTCGCGCTATTGAGCGCAGAAACGGAGGAGTGAAACCTGTGGCGGCTGGTGATGCGGTAAAGGTGCTTCAGCCTGGATGATGGTGGGTCCTTCTCCCTGTTTTCAGGCTAGGCTCAGACAATTGCCCGGTGGTGGCTAGGAGTGGGGGCCCGAATTGTTTCAGTAGTTTTCTTGTTTCATCACCAGTCTTGCTTTCCAGCGTAGCTGTGCAGGTAAACAAGTGCCTAGATGTGAGCGGGTGCGATCCTGTGGTCCCTTTCCACACTGATGAACTTATAGCCGAGTCGGGGTAAAACGAGCAAAAACTGGAGGTTGCTTGCTTGGACGCTTGATAAGTTTAGTACTTGGTCCTGACGTATTCCTTTGAATGAAAAGCAGCACTTCAGCAGCCACCGGAAACGTTGAATGACACCAAGGCTTGGCCCGGTTTTGGTGGCCGGATTACTCATGAGTGATGGTGGATGGCTGCTTTGAAGGCTTTATTGTGCAGGCTTGCTAAGGTTTTATTGTGCAGGCGACTCCAAAGGCATTTTGGCAGGGGCAAAGGGAAGCCCAAGACAAACCAATTTAAGCTGCGCGATTCCATCTTGTAGTTTGTCCAACAGGCCGGATATTTTCACAAACAGTTGAGCTTCCGACACGTACGGAGCGAATCTTCCCTGCAAGAGGCGTCATGGAAACCCATGAAACGGTAAGCGTTTCTTTTCGCGTCCTGACACCAACACGTCTTTGGGTCCTGTTTCAGAATGAGCCGTTTGAGAAAAGGACGCACACACACACAAAGGATTTAATTTGCCATTCCATTGGTGTTATTTGCTGAAAAGAAGTGACAAGGGGGTGGCAGCAGCTGCCATCTCTCTCTTGAGTACTTTGCGAGCAATGGGAGGCTCAGATGAGCAGCGTTTTTTTCTCAGATGATGGATTTTAGCTTCGTGGGGAACTCTCAAAAGCTCCGCGAAGGCACTTGTGCGATACATTGTGTACCGCGAAGCCCCGCGAAGCCACTTCGCGTAGCCCGGTAACATTGACACAGGCGAAGCCACTTCGCGAAGCCACTTCGTGGTTTGTGTGTATTGCGTGCTTTCATGGCAAGTGTGTTGTGCGCTTTCATGGCAGTAGTATTCCAAAGGTTGATGTTTAGAGTCAGCAGGCTACGACAAGATTACAGGAAGATTGCGGGAAGACGACCGGAAGAGCACTGTGCGTTTCAGGCCCGGTTTTGCTAGAAACGATGGAACGTTTTCGCGAAGCCTCTGCGAAGCCCCCGCGAAGCCCCCGCGAAGCCTCCGCGAAGCCACCGCGGTCCAACTTCCATGCTCCGCCCCTTTGAGGCCCAGCCATGTCCCCTAGTCCTGAAGCTCAATGCCTCTCTTGCCGCCTTTCATCGAACCCTTTCGCATGGACTCAACTTGATTCAACAACATGGGGGCGCAAATGTGAGAGATGTTTGTGGAACAAACATCCGCGAAGCCTGGCGAAGCCACTCCGCGAAGCCACTCCGCGAAGCCACAGTCTTGCTCGCGAAGCCAACCCTTCCACAAATTCTGGCCCCGCGAAGCCCCCCGCATAGCCTCCCCAGCAGTGTGTAAGCCCTGAGCCTCTAAAAAAACAATGCTCAGATGTCCTCAGCCGGCAAGGAGGTCAATGCTTCCATGGGGCTCATGCTTGAGCAGACGGTCGCCCTTGCGGTGCACGACTTCGCCCCAAGCAAGGAGCGAGTCTGCGAGAAGCTGGTGGACAGACGTAAGCACCAGATGGGTGCGTGGTGGGGCACTAGGGGTTTGCAACACAGGGAAAAGCTCAAACTCAGCAGGCGTGGTTTTTCCCATGGATGGATGTCTTTGATGGCGGTGGATCCAACATTGGATAACCCTCAACCCCCAACGACCAGTTACAGACAAAGAGGCCTCGCTTCATTGCTCCTCGCGCTTTCTCCATGGGCTAGTGGGGCGGTTTGGTCCAAAAAGCGGGGAGCTCAACTATATGATCAAAGTTCACTTCCTCTTTGAAAGTGCCTCTTGAGGTTTCACAGAAGTCCCAACCTGGCTCACAGGCCCACCAATCCCATGTGTGGGCCCTTCCCTTGAAGTCTCACTCCCTGAGTTGCTGCACTCAAACTTTAGAGCCTCCGGCTCAGTCCGCCGACATTGTCCTCTCCCTTTTCTCCTTCTTCCTCTCTTCCTTGTCTCCCTTGTATGTTCTGTCGTCCTCTCTCCCTCCCTCTGCTCCCATCCTCCCCATCCCCCCAAGCCTCTCTCTCCCCAATCTCCCTCTCTCGTATGTATGCATGCATGTACAAAAGTATGTATGTATGTATGCATGCATGTATGTATGTATGTATGTATGTATGTATGTAATGTAAGCAAGTCAGTAAGTAAGTAAGTAAGTACGTAAGTAAGTATGTATGTAATGTAATGTAATGTAATGTAATGTAATGTAATGTAATGTAATGTAATGTAATGTAATGTAATGTAATGTAATGTAATGTAATGTAATGTATGTAATGTAATGTAATGTAATGTAATGTAATGTAATGTAATGTAATGTATGTATGTAATGTATGTATGTATGTATGTATGTATGTATGTATGTATGTATGTATGTATGTATGTATGTATGTATGTATGTATGTATGTATGTATGTATGTATGTATGTATGTATGTATGTATGTATGTATGTATGTATGTATGTATGTATGTATGTATGTATGTATGTATGTATGTATGTATGTATGTATGTATGTATGTATGTATGTATGTATGTATGTATGTATGTATGTATGTATGTATGTATGTAATGTATGTATGTATGTATGTATGTATGTATGTATGTATGTATGTATGTATGTATGTATGTATGTATGTATGTATGTATGTATGTATGTATGTATGTATGTATGTATGTATGTATGTATGTATGCTATGTATGTATGTATGTATGTATGTATGTATGTAATGTATGTATGTATGTATGTATGTATGTATGTATGTATGTATGTATGTATGTATGTATGTATGTATGTATGTATGTATGTATGTATGTATGTATGTATGTATGTATGTATGTATGTATGTATGTATGTATGTATGTATGTCATGTAATTAATGTAATGTATGTATGTATGTATGTATGTATGTATGTATGTATGTATGTATGTATGTATGTATGTATGTATGTATGTATGTATGTATGTATGGTAATGTATGTGTGTATGTATGTAATGTATGTATGTATGTATGTAATGTATGTATGTATGTATGTATGTATGTATGTATGTATGTATGTATGTATGTTAATGTATGTATGTATGTATGTATGTATGTATGTATGTATGTATGTATGTATGTATGTATGTATGTATGTATGTATGTATGTATGTATGTATGTATGTATGTATGTATGTATGTATGTATGTATGTATGTATGTATGTATGTATGTATGTATGTATGTATGTATGTATGTATGTATGTATGTATGTATGTATGTATGTGTATGTATGTATGTATGTATGTATGTATGTATGTATGTATGTATGTATGTATGTATGTATGTATGTATGTATGTATGTATGTATGTATGTATGTATGTATGTATGTAATGTATGTATGTATGTATGTATGTATGTATGTATGTATGTATGTATGTATGTATGTATGTATGTAATGTATGTATGTATGTATGTATGTATTGTATGTATGTATGTATGTATGTATGTATGTATGTATGTATGTATGTATGTATGTATGTATGTATGTATGTATGTATGTATGTATGTATGTATGTATGTATGTATGTATGTATGTATGTATGTATGTAATGTATGTAATGTATGTATGTAATGTATGTAATGTATGTATGTATGTATGTATGTATGTATGTATGTATGTATGTATGTATGTATGTATGTATGTATGTATGTATGTATGTATGTATGTATGTATGTATGTATGTATGTATGTATGTATGTATGTATGTAATGTTAATGTAATGTAATGTAATGTAATGTAATGTATGTATGTATGTATGTATGTATGTATGTATGTATGTATGTATGTATGTATGTATGTAATGTAATGTATGTAATGTATGTATGTATGTATGTATGTATGTATGTATGTATGTATGTATGTATGTATGTATGTATGTATGTATGTATGTATGTATGTAATGTATGTATGTATGTATGTATGTATGTATGTATGTATGTATGTATGTATGTATGTATGTATGTATGTATGTATGTATGTATGTATGTATGTATGTATGTATGTATGTATGTATGTATGTATGTATGTATGTATGTATGTATGTATGTATGTATGTATGTATGTATGTATGTATGTATGTATGTAATGTATGTATGTATGTAGGTAGGTAGGTAGGTAGGTAGGTAGGTATGTAATGCATGTATGCATGTATGTATGTATGCATGAATGCATGCATGCATTCATGTATGTATGCATGCATGCATTCATGCATGTATGTATGTATTTCCCGCAAAAAAACACGGTTTTCCAGCGTTTTCGCAAAGAGGACGTCCAAAAACATTGAGTTTTTCCAGATTTTCGGCAAAAGGATGCAGGAAGCCCAAGCCAGCAAAAAAACCGGCAGGGGGAATCGAGCCTGGGACCCCTGTTTTGCGACACCGGCTCCCCGAAGACTACGTTTAGTGGAACGTCATCAAATTCTTGCCGCGCGGTACGTGGGGGACCCCCCCCCCCTCCCCCCCAAAAACCTACGTAATAGACGTCGGGTGGGGGGGGGTTAGGGGGGGGGGTTATCCTCTATCCTCTAGTAAGTATCCGACACGCCGAGCAATGTCGGCGGATAACTTTTTGGGTTTGGACCAATGCAGCAAACGACAAGTTCGAGCTTTTGGGCGAATCCACTCCATCGGAAGTGAGGTGATGAGGACTCAACACAGTTTGGTTACTTGGGCCCGCTGCACCGGAGCATGGGCAAAAAAAGGCAAATCCTCCCAAACCGGGACACGCAGGAGCCCTCCATGCGGATGGCTCAGCTGCGGCAGGCAGGAGAGCTGAAGGCGGGGCAAGGGATGGGAAGAGTTGCCCCTGTTTTTGCACGGGCCACGTGGAAGGGTTTTGAACAGATTTTGGAAGGTTTCTGGAAAGCGAACCAAAAGGATGTCACCGGTGTCTAACACGTCAGCCTGCCGAGGTACCGGGGTGGAATCGAACCTCCCACGCGTTTTGGTAACCAACGTACTACTACTACTACTACTACTACTACTACTACTACTACTACTACTACTACTACTACTACTAGTTTTGCTGCTGAAGGCGCTTCTGGTTTCGTTGCATTGCTACTACTACTACTACTGCTACTGCTACTGCTACTGCTACTGCTACTGCTACTACTACTACTCCTACTACTACTACTACTACTACTGCTACTACTACTACTACTACTACTACTACTACTACTACTACTACGTCCCGCTTGCCCGCAACGTCTGCGACCGCCCCCGCCCCGACCCTTAAAAAACGTGGCAGGTGTGGGAGCTTGTAGACCTGTGTGTGGTGAACTCCCTCAAAAACTTGGGGGTCGAAACCTGGATTTGGAGCACCCTGTCTTGGGTTGAAACCCTAAACCCTAAACCCTAAGAATTTATATCTAAACCCTAAAAACCCTAAACCTAAACCCTAACAACCCTAAACCTAAACCCCAAAAACCCCAAACCTAAACCCTAAAAACCCTAAACCTAAACCCTAACAACCCTAAACCTAAACCCCAAAAACCCCAAACCTAAGCCCTAAAAACCCTAAACCTAAACCCTAAAAACCCTAACCCTAAACCCTAACAACCCTAGACCTAAACCCTAAAGGCAGCGGCAGACATCCCCATAAAGATGCTTGTGGGCGAGCCGCGTGTTTTGTGGGTACTACGGCTACTACTAGTACTACTAACTATTACTACTACTACTACTACTACTACCACCACTACTACTACTACTACTACTACGACTACTGCTGCTGCTGCTGCTGCTGCTGCTGCTTCTGCTGCTGCTGCTACTGCTACTGCTACTTCTACTGCTACTGCTTCTGCTACTGCTACTGCTACTGCTACTGCTACTGCTACTGTTATGGTACTGCTGCTACTGCTGCTACTACAACTACTACTACTCCTAGTACTACCTGTTTAATTTTTGGTTGATCCTGTATTAATTTTATATTGATCCCTCAGTCAGCTGCGCTGCGCTGAATGTGATTCAGCCTTGTGCTTTGGGCAGGGGTGGGCTGACTTAATTCATGTGCCAATGTCATGCTTTATGCCGTTTCGGCAAAGGGCCACAATGTCACCCCATCAAGGCCGGGCTTTGCGTCTTGTTCGTCCCTCTGCTTTGATTCGCGCCATTTCGCCCGCGTGCCATGGACCGGTGTGTCTTGTGACCAAGGAACTCAAGCAAGTGGGATCCAACGCACTTACGGTGAGTCCGCCGTGGAATAGTTCTGGATGCTGCACACGGCCCCAAAATTCTGGAGGGTGACGCCCTCCTTCGGCGCATTAGGTGCCCTTCACCACGGGCCTGCTGCTGGGCATTGGGGAGACCACCTGTCAGCGCCTGGAGGCGCTGGATGCTTTGGCGGAAGTGGCGGAGGAGTTCGGGCATGTCCAGGCGCGATCAGCGGCTTTTTCTTCTTCTTTTCTTTTTTTGGGGGCGGGGGGTTAGGGGTTGTGCTGTTTGTTGCACATTATGTTGCTCTGTGGTGAGGTCTTTTGTTTGCTTGGACCCTACCTGGAAAATCATGGTGTTTTGTTTGATGCTTCTTTCAAACCCCCCCACAAAGTGTTACGAGAAGGTCACAATTCTGTCCCCAACATGATAACAGGACATGCTGTGTGATTGCTGCTCAGCTTGTTCTAGCATCATGTGGCGCATTTCAGCCCAAGCTCTGTGATGCGCTGCAACTCCACCGTCTGGTCATTCATTCATTCATCCATTCATCCATTCATCCATTCATCCATTCATCCATTTATCCATTCATTCATTCACTCATTCACTCATTCATTCATTCATTCATTCATTCATTCATTCATTCATTCATTCATTCATTCATTCATTCATTCATTCATTGATTCATTCATTCATTCATTCATTCATTCATTCATTCATTCATTCATTCATTCATTCATTCATTCATTCATTCATTCATTCATTCATTCATTCATTCATTCATTCATTCATTCATTCATTCATTCATTCATTCATTCATTCATTCATTCATTCATTCATTCATTCATCCATCCATTCCATCCATCCATCCATCCATCCATCCATGCATGCATGCATCATGCATCATCATCATGCATTCATTCATTCATTCATTCATTCATTCATTCATTCATTCATTTATTCATTCATTCATTCATTCATTCATTCATTCATTCATTCATTCATTCATTCATTCATTCATTCATTCATTCATTCATTCATTCATTCATTCATTCCATCCATCCATCCATCCATCCATCCATCCATCCATCCATCCATCCATCCATCCATCCATCCATCCATCCATCCATCCATCCATCCATCCATGCATGCATGCATGCATGCATGCATGCATGCATGCATGCATGCATGCATTCATTGATTCATTCGTTCATTCATTCATTCAGTCATTCATTCATTCATTCATTCATTCATTCATTCATTCATTCATTCATTCATTCATTCATTCATTCATTCATTCATTCATTCATTCATTCATTCATTCATTCATTCATTCATTCATTCATTCATTCATTCATTCATTCATTCATTCATTCATTCATTCATTCATTCATTCATTCATTCATTCATTCATTCATTCATTCATTCATTCATTCATTCATTCATTCATTCATTCATTCTCTAAACCAGACCAAGAGAGGAAATAGTGATAGAGAGATGAAGGGAGCGGAGGCATGATGAAGGCTGGACATCCATTCGCGCCGCTCCCTCATTCACTCTCTTCACCAACCAGGACCTCGCCTTTCCATTCTCTATCTTGGGCGAGTTGGGTGAAGATAATATGAGTGCTTGGGAGGGGCAGCATAAAGAAAGAGAGGCTGACATTCCTTCCTCCTCTCACGCCTAAGCTTGGAGGAGGTACAAGGAATGGATCACTTCTTCATATCACCTCCCCAATGATTCCAGAAATGACAGACAAGAGACTGGAGGTGATAAGAATGGAAGTAATATCTCTTTTCCCTTTCTCCTCCCTGCCTTCCCTCGCCAGCTCAGTGAATCCAGATGATACGAGTACATGATTTTGGATCTTTGGGTTTTAAAGCCGATTTAGGTGATCCCAGGGCAGGGTTGGGGGAGGAGGTGATCCTGCAGCCGCACTCTTTGGGCAGCTCCCAGAAGCTTCGAGATCCTGCGGATGTGGCAGCTTCCCTGCCGGAGGTGGTGGCGGCAGCGCGAAAACGGTTGCCGCCCGGCGTGCGGATCCAGGCAAGGGATGGTGGGCTGGCGTGTTGGTGGAGGTCAGACCAAACTTTGGTAGTTTTCGGGGGCAACACAATGCCCTTGGTCGGATGGTTGTTTCGTCTCCGCGGCGCCTGCTATCACGCTTAATTTTGCTAGCGGCATTTAAAGTTCCGGCATCTTCTGCTACAACCAGCGGGTGCAGGGCACCGACAAACAGTGTTGTTCCGACCCTCACTGACCAAACAAGGATCGCAAGGGTAGGCCGGCAAAGGGCGCTTTTTGGTTCCTGTTTCCAGGGATCAACTTTCTACCCTTGTGACGATCGGGTCGTTGGAGCCCTATCTGGGTTCAAGATGAGTGTATGGGTATGGGAGTTTCTCGGCCCTCTTTTTGAACTCTACTTTTAGGGTCCCCTATTTTGAGATACACCCGTATGAGTAAGCAGGCCCTATTCAGGTTCAGCCAGTGCGTGCAACGGATGCTTGGAGGAGGTGTTTAGGTGGTTTCTATGGTGAATCTCTGAGGATTTCAGTTCCCCCAAACAACCCTTGGGGTGGTTGTTCACTTTGGTCGAAAGGGGCAGTGGACTGCCATGTTGGCACGTGCAAAGTCCATTCTGAGTTCTTTTTCCCAGTGCTTTTTCACTGCGATTTTGAGGCCCAGGAACATGGAGCCAACGTGTCCAAGTTCGGCCTTGCTCCGCCAGGTGCCGCCCAATCTGATCCTCCATCACACGCGCGGCGCGGAGATCCTCAGGGAAGCTTGGCCGACCTGGGCAGGCAATGCCCCGATGGGCCCAAAGAAATCTCACCCTTTGTCCTGGGACATTCCCACTAGCCAGGTGTATGCCGCTTTCTCATGTCAATGGAAACTGGAACCGCTGCAAGCTCTGCTCCTTGCTCCATTCTTGGAGAAAAACAAGGATGCGGGGCTTTCTCAAAAAGTGACGACTGCGGCCATGTTTGAAACAAAGCCGGGCTGAAGCGATCGGAACGGCTTAGGAGTGCCTGGCCAACGGCGCGCGTGACTTGGGGGGGATCTCCCCCAGAGATGAGGCGAAAGGGCGGAAGGGTCTCAACGGAAGACTCCGAATGCAGTAGGAATCGTACATGGGTGCTTGGTTTTGGCCCGCCATCTGGATTGAGATTCGAAGATCACAGCCAATTCAGGCCACACCCCAGTTGCAGAGGAGCGCCTGTCGACCGCGGGGCTCGTCAATCCATATCCTAAACTGCATTGGGGGAGGGTGTCTTTTCCGTTGGAGGTCTCCGTTCCCTCCGCCTCATCAGAAGAAACTGCTCGTTTGCCTTTTGGGCTCCTTCCTTTGATTCGCAGGGGATCACATAAATTGGTGCTTCTCAGAATAGGGGATCCCATTTGAAAGGCAAGGGTTTCCTTTTGGCTGCCCTTCAAACACCGACCAAAGGTTCACCATTTTGAGACACTCGCAAATGGTTCCTTTTCTTTTTCTGCCTCATTTTGTAGAGGAAGCTCCTTTTGGGAAATGGAGTTCTTTTGGGCCACTTCTTTTATTTTTTCGCGGAGCAAATGAACTTGGGTCACTGGGCATCCCCCCACTTCAAGCTTAGGGCCTCTGCGCGCCGCTTGGCGAGGTGAACCCGGACTTTGCATTCCCAGTGCTCGAAGAGCTGCGGAAGCTCCTGACAGAGGAAGGGTCGCTTGAGCCGGTTTTGACATGAAACTGGGAAAGCGACAAGGGGCAGGATTTTCTGCTATGAAATCTCCCGAAAACAATTTGAAACTGACGGGGTGGGCTTTTCTTTTGCAGTTGGTTTTGGATTTTGGGGGTTGCTTGAAACGACAACCATGAGGGACATCGCTGTTTTGAGGTTCTATTTTGGCACAGTCTCAAAAAGAGAAAGCTGAACGTGAAAGAAGGGAGAACCGTTTCGTGTGGTTTGGTTGAATCTCAGTTATTTCGTTTTGGGTGAGCCGCTGCCACTGCTGCTTTGAACCGGCGTTCAGGAGGGCTACATCCTGCAGTCGCGGCTGCCGGTGTATCCACAGCACTTTGAGTGGCTCTCGGAGCGTGTGCGCCGCAACTTGAGGTGACGCTGGACACGACCCGTCGACACGATGCAAGCAGACATTCGGCATGGGAGAGGCAAGGCAGGCCGTTGCACGGCAGGCCGTTGCACGGCAGGATTTCAGGAGCTTCCATCGACCGATGAGACTGGAAGGCCAGACAGGTGTCCGGAGTGAGGCCTGCAAAGAGCTGCCCGTGCTGAGCCAAGGGGACCGAGGACAGATCAGTGATAGCCGCCTAAGCTCTCGAGTAGGTCAGGCTGCTCCGCTGGTTGCAGAAAAGGAGAGTTTGACAGTTGGGGTAGGCCAGCCGTTGGTACATCTGGAAGTCGCCCTGTATTGCCTGCGGCATTCTGCAACGGCCCACCGCTTGTGGCTCGCAGGTTCATTTATGTTGCTTGTTTAGGACTCCATCCGTATCTGTCGAGAGCCAGGGGGAAGTTGCTGAAAGAGGGAAGGGAAGTCCATCCTCTCCAAACAAGAGACACAGACACAGTCGTTTACTTTGGACGAACTAGCATCTCGGCACGTACATATATTCCTCCCCCTGGTGCGACAAGTGTAGCATGCCTTCTGGCATGCGCTGAAGGCCGGGCTTTCCCGTTTTGGGGCCTTCAAGTGGCCGCGCGCAAGGAGGTGGACCCGCGAAACCAGGCGTTTGACTGGCCCAGATGCTGGATTCTAGAAATCGTGCGCAGGTCCGGCCTATGCTGCAGGCTGGGGCCTTGGGGCCGAATCATAGCAGCCTCCTACGAGGTCCGATTGGATGGCAGACAGAAAATGTAAATCTTCTATTGGAGACACCGACCAAAGCCGCGCCACATGGCTTTGTAAAGAGTGACATCACACTCGTCGCAATGAACTTTCCTGCAACCAGCACACACAATTGTTCCTTTTGGCGTTGGGAGCAACCAAATCCCTTTAGACACCTCCGAGGGTTGAGTGGCAACTGCTATGCAGATCGTGGATCACATTGAGGTTCTTTGACCTCATTTCAATTTGATCGGAGATTCGGTCCACCGCGCAGGCCAAGCAAAATGCTTGCCCGAAGATATTTTCCAGAGCCAAGGAGAACCACTTGGAGTCTGTAAGATGTCTCCATTATGTCTCCATGTGGTCCGGGAGCAGTCACTTTGGTTTCACTGGGGCGAGAGGGCGGCTACGCGATGCTTGTGCATGCCCTCACGCGGATTGATGGAGACCCGTTTGTTCCCCAACAGCTTAAAGCTAAGGTGTCTCAGCCCAAAGGTTTAGGGGTAAGGTTCCGGCGGTTCCGGGGTGGTTTGGTGCAGGCCAAGTGTAAGGTTCAAGAAGGAAGGTTCCGCAGGCCAGAGAGGTGTAGGATTCAAGGAAGCTTCCGGAGGCTTGCGGGGTCTGGTGCGGGCCAGGTGTGTAAGGTTCAAGGAAGCTTCCGGAGGAGGCCAGGTGTAAGGTCTAAAGAGCTTCAGAGGTTCTGAGCAGGCAGGTGTAAGGTTCAAAGGTTCGCGTGTTGGGCCGCGAGTCCGCAAGGGTTCCATACGGGTTCCGCAAAGGTTCCGCAGGGTCTTGCGAGGGTGCGGGGTGGTTCGGGCGCGCAAAGGTGCAGGGTTCCGCGAAGGTTCTGAGGTAAGGTTTCGCAGGGCTCCACGAGGGTCAAAAAAAGCGCCGCGTGCTGTTGGGGATGTCATCCGAGCTTATTGTCTTTGTGTTGCCAGGTCTTTTTTTTGCAGGCACGGCATCTGGTAAGATGCCCAAGCATGGCAAACCTTTGGCTTGAGGTTCAATGCTCAGCACTGCAACTGGTTCTGGCAGGAAGGTGGGACTGATGGCTCGTGGCAGCAAAACCACTTGATGCCCTCACCCGAGTCCAGCTACCTCCAGAATGGCTCTCAGTTCCGCGCCGTGGCAGTTCCAATTTTGAACTTGGAAATGCTCTGCCTGAGGTTCTGGGCTTCTGGGCTGCTGTTGTGCTGACCCAGGCGATGTTTGGCCGGTCTGGGGGTGTCCCAGCACCCCACTCCCAAGAGGGGCCATCATTTTGACACGCCTCCTCCCTGTGTCGAGCTGCACCACACTTGATGAAGGCGAATCAACCTTTTGACTCTTCGGTTTCGCAGTTTCGGTCCATTTTCAGTCATGGTCCATATGTCATGGCTCCTGTGCATGGATTAACTCACCAAGTTGACGGGGAGAGCTTGCTTCGTGAAAAGCCAGGTTTAAGCTAGGAGAACCTGGCCAAGTCTAGCAAAATCTACTCGGTCAGGCTGCCCGAAATCTTGGCAGGTATTTTTCCACCGTTTCTCCTCAAGCCACGGGAAAGGTCGCAAAGGGGGGCGCGTGCCGGCAGAAGAAGATGGATTGGTGCTTCGGGCCCAACGGGACAGGCTTGCCAAGGTGTGACTCTGGCACACTGAGCAGCGAGGTTTCGCTTCCTGAAGGAGGGATGAGCCTTGTTTCCAAAGCTGCTTTCGGAGCATATCCCCTCATTTGCTTCAGGTTCCTTCCTCTGCTTGAGCTGAACTCAAGCAAATCAAAAGCTGCAACAAACAAACAAAAAGAGAGAGAGAGAGAGAGAGAGAGAGAGAGAGAGAGTGGGAGGGAAAGTAGCCAACATGTAAACAACTTGAGAGCACATTCACCAGTAGAAGCACATGGCCCCCGCAACGTTTGGTGTCTTCGATCCAGCCACACACAGACACACGCATGTTTTTGCCCTTGCCAGGCTGACGCCGACGAAGGCCGCCTGAATCTTAGCCTGCGAACGGAGAGCGGTGCAACCCAAAGGAAACTCAAAGGGGATGGATTCATGCTTAATTTTCCAGACCAGCAGTTTTTGTTTGGTGCTTCGCTGCTTTTTTGCTTGGATGTATCCCTGCCCTTTCAAGTCAATCAAGACAATGCAGGTTCCAGCTGCCGCTTTTTGCATTTGTTGCAGCTTGTGGGAGCTTGAATCAATGCGGATGATGCAAGTGATGCAGGGTTCTGATTCCATCACCACCTTTGCCTCCATGCCAAAATGTATTTTTGCCCCGTAAAACACTGTTCCCAAGGCCTTCTCTGGCCCGCGTTTTTTGGGAGCCGCCCCATCCCTCCCAAGAGCACGGCTTTGGGAGCGCTTCTTGCATGCTTATATATCGTTGCCTCCCTAAAGCACGGTTTCTTGGGCGCCCCTGCTCGTGCCCTATATGCACGCGTCCCATTTTGCTTGACGCGTGCTCCTCCCTCCTTGCCTCTGCCCGATACGCGGGGCCCCTCTTGTGTGCCTGCTGCCTCCCTCCCCATGTGCGTGGGAACGCAAAGGCGAACCCTTCAACCTACAAACAACTGTCAGGAAGGCGAACACAATTTGTCAACATTCTGACCCCGCTTGCTTCCTCTCGGATCCATGGTTTTCACCTGGCCATTTTTGAGTTCGCCTGTGAAGGTTTATTGGCGCATTTCCCCCCGAAGAGAAATGGAAAGCAGTTGGGTTGGTCATTCTTTGTGAAGCAAAAAGTGGAAAAGTTGGGGACCCTACCAAAAAGGCGAAGGTGGGGAGTGGGGAGCCCACCAAATGAGGGGGAAGGGCCCATGGGTTTCACCGTTTCACCACCAAAACGGCGCTCTGGGCTCCACTGAGCTGGGCTCCAGGTCGGCTCCTGCGGCAAGAAGCCGCCGCGCGAGGCCGTGTGGGAGCAAGCCGATGGAGTCGGGCGCGTGACCTTCATTCCCACCGTGACATGGGACACCAGCCAGAAACGCATCAAGACGGAATGCATGGCGGAATGGCCAGGAGAATGGCATGGTTGCTGTTCAGATAGCCGAATTCTTTGTTTTGGCCAACAGCCAAGTATTGCTTAGGCCCATGATACGGGGACAAAGGATTCTTTTCTGCGATCCTTTGCCACGCCTCGCCCAGTATTTCCGGTGGAGACGGTTCCATGTAAGCCACAGCTTCTCGAAGACAGAACGTGACCATTTGCGGCACCCGGCGAGGTTCCAGTTTCAGTTTTCAGCTGTTGGCGGGAGGGTGGGAGATTTGGACTTCATCAACCCTGACCAGTACCGCAAAGAGCATATGCACCCACCACGTCGATATGTTGGGGGCTTTGGTTTCCAACTCCAGTCGGGTCCGGGCAAATCATAGCAACCTCACAAGGGTTCGTTAGCCTCTTTTCCGGGATCCCTTATTTCAGACTGCTGGATCATGATAGTTCACACAGATTGGTTCAAACAAGCTGCTGCTTGGCAAAAAGAGGCTCCCCGGGCCACAGCGGTTTCATCGGCTTGGTTATTGCCGACAGGCACACGCCATGCGTCTGTGGAAGTGCATGGACTGGCCCTCAGAGGTTGCTAAGACTTCAAGCTTGCACCATTCGGCATTTTAGCTACCTGGTTCAACAAGGATAATAGTAAGGCCTATACCAACCTTAGTAGTAAATGGGTTTGGGCGATGCCGTTTGTGTTTTAGGCCACTTCCTTTGATACCAAGGGAATCGGCACAACCATGATTCCAGGTCCAGGTGGTTTGGATCAGTCACATTGTTTCGGGTGAAGCGGAAAAGATGATAAACCCTGCGGATGTAAAACGGACAGTTACCCACACCATATGTCTGAGCATCGGCGCCGAATTCTGTGGATTTTTCAGCCTCACATCCAATGGTCGGTGGTCCATGGGAGACGTTCCCGCTTGTTGAAAGGCCTTCAGCTTTCCTGGGTCAGGGGACCTTGTAACAGGTACCTGGGAGGAGATGCTGCATTCAACCTTGTTCGGGGGGGCGGGGGGTCCAAAAAGGGCTACACCTGCTCCAAGCGCTCAAAGCAAGTGAAATGGGGAAGGATGGCCCAACCTGAGGTCTGGTAGGAGCAGTCATTGCTCGATCAACCGCTACAAAAGATTGGTTGTTCCGAGCCCACTAGCAGGGTCGAACATCCAAAAGCTGCCGCGTTCAGACGCAGACAAGGCAGGCGGTATTGTTATTTGAAGTGCATCATCCACGACAAGTTATGCATGGTTTGCTGGTATTCCTCTCGCGCCTAAATGGTGATTTGGTCCGGCCAAGCAACAGACTGATGGTGTTCATCTAAGTCGTTGCCAGACAAACAAGAGTTGGTTCAGGTTGAAGCTAACGCTGAGGCATTTGCTTTGGGTTGAGCGGCTCAGGGCCTCAAGCAGCATGAGTTGGCACGACTTCTCAACCTACTTTTCAAAAGTTTTACCACTTCTTGTTCGCGATCCGAGCGGGGTTCTGAGACAGGTAGCCCCTGGAACGGGCATCTTCTAGGTGGCCCGAGGGCCATATCATTGGGCAGCAATTTAGAGATTGGTAGTTTTCATTGTGTTTGTCCCAAAGGTAAACCCCTTACCATGTGTTGTTTCCTTTGACCGCTTTCCCAATCATTGAAGTGGACAGGAGGGCTTTGGACGACCGGCAGGTAATTCAGAACCCAAGCAATTGCGGGACCTGAGGCAACGGCGCAGTAGCGGAGATAAAGCTTGAGAGATCCGAAGGCGCGGTGCGTGTCTGGGCAGGGACGTTCAACTTCATTGGATTGACTGCGGTCTTTTTTTGCTTGAAAGTTGGGGGACCTTCATCATGTACATTATACATATGCATTGTGCATTGGCATTTGTATTCATGTTGGAATTTGCATACACATGCTCATTTGGATTTACCTTGTGACCCAGATGTGCATTGGCATAAACGCTCCTCCTGTCATTCATATCCAGATTGATTACTGCTCCCTCTCTCACTCCTTTTGGACCCTTGTTCCATTCCCAAGCAACAATCTGACCATATGATGCTCTGCTCGCTTCCTGAGTTCCTAGACTTTAAACTTTACGCTTTTGGGGAAGACCAAAATAAAGTTCGACTTCCTTTTGGCCAATTCCACTCGATCGGAAGTGGCGTGGGGACCCGCTTAATCGAGGCTTCAGCGAGATTCGGCTCCACGAGGCCAATACCTCAGGCAGGGCGCGCCCCGATGCCGCACTGGCAGCTGGGCGGAAAGCCGAACGGGCTATTGGCGGTTGTGTAGTTCATCATCGCAGGAGCATTTTTACGCTGTTTGCGCTTTTCCGTGGTTGCGCACGCTCTTGTTGAGTCTCATGTTAAAGCAAAGTGAAAGCTTCTGCTGGCGGGTTTTGCCAGCAACTTGATGCGGACGCAGAAAAGGCGGTAGGGTGAGTTGGCAAACCCTTTCTTTGCGCCATCATTGCTTGTTTCCACTCAAAAATGGTTTTCGTTTGCATTCTCACTGCCAGGTGCAGGGCCCGTGGTTTTACGTTTCTGCGGGATTGTTATGTTTCAAGGGAATCATGGAGCCACGTTTACGAAGCCTACCGGCGCACTGGAGACAAAGTCACAAGTTCTGAAGCGACAAATTCGGCAATCAGCGAATAGTAAATAGCCATGTGCAACTCGCAGTGTCAACCCAAATGGAAACGCTCGGGTAGCCGCCGACCCTCATAAAAAAGGAGTGTAGTCGCTCTGGAGCTAGGAAGGACACATATAAGTCAACAAAACGGTTATAGCATCAACTGGCTCTGCCTCAAAACTAGAGGCGCTCCACACCCTCCAAACAAACGTCGT